TGTGGCATGTGGGACGCTGCCTCAGCGTGGTTTGATGAGCAGTGCCATGTCCGCGCCCAGGATTCAAACCAACGAAACACTGGGCCGCCTGCAGCAGAGCGCGCGAACTTAACCGCTCGGCCACGGGGCCAGCCCCTAAAATTCTTGAAAATGCAAAATATCTTATGCATCTTGGACTCAAGCCATGAAGTACATAATAAATATCAAGAAATGAATTGGACATTATGAACATTCACATTGTCAAGCACAACACAGTTCTGTGTCATGTCTCTCCTAAAAGTCTACATTATCTGCTGCTGAGAATTCAGAAATTGGGAGAAAGTCTGTGTAAGGTTTTTAGGCTCTGAGATATCATTTCGGAGTAGAGACTCTCCCAAAGAAGAATCCAATTGTTTTCCTTCTCTAGGAGCAGCCACTGAAGTTATTCAGGACCTTGCCTGTACTCAAGGGACACCACTTCCCTTCTCTTTGTTCACTTGGCCACCAGCATCTATATGTTGGCTCCACTATCATCCAATATGGAGCACTCCTGTGAGGCTATTGCCTAACCTGATGTCCAGTCCATGTGCATGTGCCTTTGTCTCTGACACCAATTCCTGCTCTAAAGGTCATGGAGCAGAACCAGTTTCACTCTACCCAGCTGTTACAAGCCACAGAGAAGTCACACAGAAGAAACTGCCTGGGGCCTCTTTCTCCAGCTAGGCATGGGGATGGGCAGTGCTGATACTTGGGGGCTGGGAACGTGACACGTATATAAGCTTGATAGACTCCATTCCAGTTCAAAATACTTTTTAAAACATTACTGATTCCCAAGAGCCCATTTCCCTATAAGGAGGTCATTTAGCAGTGAGAGAAATTAACTTATTTCTCATATTTCTAGCTAATTTCTAGCTTGAATTTCTTTTTACTTAATCTCTTCAAGTTTTCATTTCTTTAAGAAAGGCACTGAAAAATAAATTTTAAAAATGTGGGCAATAGGAAGATGTTTCTAAAGGGGATAACACTAAACATTACATATTTAATGTTTCACCTCCCATCACCACTTCTTCTCTGCCTCCCACTGTTTCTGGAAAAGCAAGTCAAGAGGTCTGTCAGAAAAGCAAGAGGGTGTGGTTGAAATTAGCCATATAACTGGACACCATGTAGGGCTGGCCTGCGTAATATATAATGGGAATTACCTTGTGTCCTACCAACTCCCCGGGGCCCCAAAAAAGGAACATATGAAGGAAATTCAGAAAAGAGCAACAAAACAATTAAGGAGCTGTGAGGTTGATTTATGAGGCACATTACGGGAACTAAGTACATGTGGCTTGGCTAAACAATGACTGAATGAAGACACAATGAATGTCTATGAGTTTACAGAGAATGTAATCACTGACGAAAGGAGAGGGACTGAGTTATCCTGGAAGTGATAACATCATCGTCACCATGCTTGTATTTTATTTTTAATATGAGGCTCTGTGCCTTATATTTCTCTTGTCTGCTACAGAAGTCAGTGCCAATATATTTTTAAAATATTTTATAATAAAGAAAAAGATAAAACAACAACGAAGGAAATCATTATAAAATTTTACCTTTACAAAATGTAGGAAGTTCTCTAAATGTATTCTGGGTAGGAGTATTGACCAATAAGTAATAAGAATATAAATCAATTAACAGCCTCTCTGAGCTAGACAGGGAGAAATGAGTCTCTGCTGCCACATCTAGGGCAAGGGAAAGGGAGAAGAGGAAGAAATGAAAGGAAAAGTGAATCCACCCAGGGCCCGCCCAGTGGCACAGGGGTTGGGTTCACACACTCCACTTCAGTGGCTCAGACTTTGCGGGTTCAGATCCCAGGCATGGGCCTGCATACCACTCTTCAGGCCATGCTGTGGCGGTGTCCCACATGCAAAGTGGAGGAGGACAGGCATGGATGTTGGTTCAGGGACAATCTTCCTCACACACCCCCCAAAAAAGTGAATCGACCAAAATCCTTGCACCTCTTAACCTAGTGGAGTTGCCATCTTGGATGGAAGCCAAGAACAACAACTTATGAAAAGTCTCTAATACGGAATCCCCTGACTTCCCCAGAGACCTCAATGACACACAGTTTATTTCAAACAGGAGAAGGTCATCAGCCTGTTCATTGTCCTCTAGACTCTTGGTGCCAGGAAAGACTGAGAGAAGGTGCATGTCAGAGGCAGATGGGTGATGGCTAATAGGACCAATCTAGCCTCTACTGCTGCTGAGGAATAAACAGCGTCCAGTTCTTTCTTACCTCATCCTATGCAGAGCAGTGATAAGTGGTAAAACTTAAAGTGAGGTTTGCAGTATCTCAAAAGCGCCAAGAACAACTACCACTTGTCTGTCCCTGAAGTAGGAGCTGGGGGTATTATGGCAAATATGACATGCTCCCTGTCCTCAAGGGCTCCCAGGCAGGAGAGGGAGACAGACATAGACATAGACACATCATTATTATTCAAGGAGTTAGATATAAGAGGAAAGCAAGGGGTGCCAGACCTACCGAGAGGAAATCTATCCCAGCGTGGAAGAATCAACAGAAGATGTCCTGGAGGCGGCAAAGTATGACCTGACATGGTTACCATCAGATGGCTTCACTCTCAATTTCCAATTGTTTCACGTGGAGATCCTTATCCAGGAACTTTTATAGCAGATGATAGGGTGAATACGCACTGTTAGGCTTGTCAAGCTTGCTTTCTTCTTAAAATAAAACTCTATCTTTCCTAGAGAACTATCTTTCCTCCCCACTCCAACGATGTGGTGTTAGCTAATCCTCATACCTCACCTTTTTTGTCTCCTTCAGTTGGCCCAGGGTGAGCTCATCCACCTTCCTGGAATTTTTCAAATTGAACCTAAGGGAGAGGGACATTCCTTTTGTGGAGATAAGACCATAATGTAAGAGTTTAGGGAAAATTCAAGGATGACACTTCCCTTATATGGAAGAAGCTGGTTCGTGGTGGAACAGACTAAAACCAACACACAGAGGCAATGAAGATAGACAGAGAGATGGTGCTCTGATAGCTCCAGGGCCCTGATCCTAGCTGCCTCTGAGGCATCACCATTTCCATTCTGTTACAATGTCAGTCACCACAGCATCCTTCCAATAAAGTCTTCTCCACGAAACTAGTTCCAGTTTGGTTTTTATCATTTGCAATCAAGAGGCCTGAGTAGCAGCTCACAACAGCAGTGGCTTCTTGACATTTGCATCCTTATCTTGAAGTTACATTTCTCCTCTCATCCGCTCCCTTTCCAAGAAGAGTCAGCCCAACCTCAATACTGCCCATTTCTCCTGGTTCCGTCTCTTGAGACTTGGAAAACTTGGCCAATATTCTTGCCTCCCCATTAGCTGTGCTTCTAGTTGTTCCATATCTACATTTCCCAGAGCCAGCTCCCATCTCAAAATATATTAACATGCAGTCTACCAAGAGCCCTCACCAGAGAATCCAACTGAGTGAGTCAAGAGTGGGGTCCAAGAATCTATATTTTTAAGACATACACCCTGGTTGATTCTGAGGTACAGCCACGTGGAAGCATGACTAGGCCAAATGACCCATGAAGCCCGTCAACTTGGAGAGTATATGAGTATCCCGGACACGGCACAAGTTAACTGTTCAGTCTCTTGTCAAGCCTCGAGTTCTGCTTAGTCTGGTTTATCTCAAAGAAAGCAGAATTATTGGAGACTTGGAAGTACGTCATAGGAGTTCCCAGTGCTCAGAGAACTATGATGGGACTTGAGATGACTTCATCATCAGGGGGGCACGTGTGACAGGGGCAGGTCTGGCCCCTTACACAAGCTGCCTTTGATTCATGCTGGAGATGGATGATGTAGAGGAAATTTGTTTCTTTTTAGTCTAGAGTTACATCACAAGCCTGTATATTTTTTCTTATAAAGTGTCTTTCCAACGCGGTTATCCTCAAAAGAGCTGGGCATAGTGATCCCAGAGGCAGCAGCAAAGTTGAAGTATAGGGGAGAAATTTCTGTTTAAATCCATCAGGCAACGTCACCTTTGGAGCAGTAAAACTGCTCTCCTTCTCATGAGAGATGACAAGCGCTTCACAGCAAAGCAAAGGCCAGGCGACAGAGGGATTTGATTTGCTCAAGGATCAGCCAAATAAAGCAAATGCTTTCCTCACTCCTTCCCTGATTCACCGAGGTTCCGACGGCGGCCGTGCTGGACCTGCCTTATAACCTCAATGCCCTTGGATTTTGAGAAGTGCTGTTTTACATTAGGCATGATACAACAGGTGTGGGAAGGCCTTTCTCAACCAGGAAGAAAGGTTTCATTTACCTCAGGCTCTTGTATTTTTATTTTATTATGTTTTACTCTTATTTCTACCAAACCTGCAGAACTGGGGGTTTAAGAATCAGCGGAGCCTACAATGATTACTCAAAAGGACTTTCGGTTTGGCCAACAGCAACCCCCATCCTAACATTGCGATTCTTTCCTTTTCTTCTGAGCTTCTTCCCCCCACTGTCTAACTTTCTTCTTTCTGTTTTCCTCCCTTTTTGCCCTTCCCCCTTTCAACACATTCAAAGAGTGCCCTAACCAGTGACAAAATTGCATGTGCTTCCCTTATGACTAAACCATTGGGCCTCTTGCCAACCCCCCACAGATGGCCCCAAACTTCAGGCATCCTTCTAGGACAGCCCTACATTCGCAGCCCTGCTTGGAACGGCCGGGCGAAGTATGGTGGGGAGCGGCGGCGTCTTAGTCCTGGGGGAAAGGGAAGCAGCTTCCAGGAGGAAACGGGCGTTTCCTTCCCACGCGCTCGAGCGAGCCCTGGGTCCCAGCCGCGGGACTCCACCCAGCCCCTCCCTGGGCTCTGGGAAAAGCCAGTCGCCACACACAGGCACACGCAGGCCCCGGGGCCGCGCCCTAAGGAGAGCAGCACCCACGGCCAATTGCCATGACAACCCCGGGGTTCGTTCCATTCCCCACCCACAGCCCATCCCCCCTCCTCCCTGCGCTGCAGCCAACCGGCTCGTGCGCGTCCCTGGAGCGCGCTATAAAACCTGCGCCGGTGGCGCTGGGGAGGACAGGCGTGCAGAGCCAAACTCCAGCGGAGGAAGTCTCGTTTTGTGAAAGCGGGAGGAAAAAGCCTGAGCATGCAGAGTGCGCAGAGCATGAGTCCCTGTCTGCCCAAGCGGTGCCTTTGCCTGGCTTTCCTGCTCCTCCATCTCCTGGGACAGGTGAGTGGTGCAACCCCCTGGAGACTTTGCCCTCCTGGGCGGTCCCTGCTCGGTCCCCGCTCGGTCCTCTGCTTCGATGGTCTCTGCTGAGAGGTTTCTCCTTCATGTCTCGCCCGCCCCCAGGTCGCTGCGACTCAGAGCTGCCCCACCCCGTGTCCGGCCCAGTGCTCCAAGACGCCGCCGACCTGCGCCCCTGGGGTGAGAGCGGTGCTGGACGACTGCTCCTGCTGTCTGGTGTGCGCCCGCCAGCGCGGCGAGAGCTGCTCCGAGATGGAGCCGTGCGAGGAGAGCAACGGCCTCTTCTGCGACCGCAGAGCGGACCCCAGCGCCCAAACGGGCATCTGCATGGGTAATCCTGCCCGGCCGCCGCTCACCTCTTCTCCCGCGGCTGGGGCTGCTTCCTCTTTCCTCTCCTTTTCCTCCCCCATTCCCGAGGGTGATGCGCAAATAATAATAATGAGGATGCAGTAGGTGATGTTTATGGAGCGCTTCCTGTGTGCCAGGCACGGTCTAGGGGCGTTTGGGGCTTTGGGGAGGACCAGAAGCCAGAGAGGAAACCTGTCCGCGGAGGTGAGAAACATTCATCACTTGCCTCCCTAGAGAAGAAGCTAGATAGACCGGGAGCAGAGCAAAGTGAAGTCATTTCCTTTGGGCATTTCCAGGGGGACGTTTAGGAGTGATGGAAGCTTGGGCTCACTCAGGCGCTCACAGTTCCCCCACTGCGCCCCGGCGGGTTTGTTTTCACACCTGTAATTGTCCCATTTGAGCCAAAGCAACCACTAGTCTCCTGGGACCACTGTAGAAGCCATGTCTGGGCTGAGAGTAAAATAAAATGCAGGCAACCAGCCAATCCAAGCTGGTGAAACTTCATCAATAGGGATCCGTTTTCCACGTGGTGCACCGTTTGGAGGGAGGCTGTCCCTGCATCTCTGGATAAGAGGGATTCGAATAGCAGCCTACTTTCCTTTCTAAGCTCTGATGATTTATTGTGCTGGAATGCCAAGGAATCCTAACGCCCTTCCCAATTTGACCAGTTCACCCATTTGAAGACTATGAGGTGCACTTTTTTCTTTTTATTTCTAAGCTGCTGGAGTAGGAGAATCTAAATCTAAGGAGGTTCTTGCAAAAATGACTTTATCATTGGGAACAACAACTGTGGGACCCTGGGAGTGTCATTTCTCAATTCTGCACTTTTTCTCATCCATATCATGAGTGGCAGGACTGGGTGGTCTCAAAGGCTTCTTCTTGCTCTGGGAGGCCTCCGTGAGGACATCTCTCTACTGGGGATGGAGAAGAAACAAGATCTCCCCAACCAGAAAAGGAAGGCTTTGGGGTTTAGAACATATGCTGCAAATCCTATATAGCTTCTCCAGTGTATTGTGTTCTTGTTTTTCTCTCTCCCCTTCCCTCTCTGCCCTGCTTCCCCAATATTCTAGCGGTAGAAGGAGACAACTGTGTGTTCGATGGGGTCATTTACCAAAGCGGAGAGACCTTCCAGCCAAGCTGCAAATACCAGTGCACCTGCAGAGACGGGCAGATTGGCTGCATACCCCGCTGTGAAGAGGACCTGCTGCTGCCCCAGCCTGACTGCCCGGCTCCCAGAAAAGTGGAAGTGCCCGGGGAGTGCTGTGAAAAGTGGATCTGTGACTCAGCTGAGAAGGGAGACTTAGGGGACCTCCTCGCCCTTCCAGGTGAGAAACTCAGGGTCCCTGAAGGGGGGGGTCACAGCACAGACTAAATGCAGGCAGGAAGCTCCTGAGCTCCTTTGGATTTGCAATGAGAAACTGGCCTCGGTTCCTGGCCACTCAGCTGTGGATTCCAGATTGCCCAGTGAGATCAAACACATCACTTGTTGGAATCCTAGCCAGGTTACTGAAGTACGCACACAGTTTCTCCTAAAGAGAACCTGCCAAATTCAGTGGTTCTTTTGAGCCATGGGACTGATTTTGTCTTAGTGAATGACTACTGTTTATATTTTAGTCCATCCCACTTGACCCTTATTAACATTACAAAAATAAAAGTAAAAAGTCACTCTTTTTTTCCCCTGGGTTCTGCACACTACCTGTGAGCTCTCAAGGCCAGCCTCCCTAAGGAATGCGCCTCATCCCTAGATAGGTGTCACAGAGAAATGTCACCTTTTCAGATGCTATAGGAAGGGTCAAGTGACACTTCAGGATCTTTGTTTTGCTTTTCTTTTTGTTCTATCTTATAAAGGAAATAGTTTTTTGAGAAAAAAAAAAACCCTCAAGAGCCAGTAGAGAATATTTTAGAAGCCATTAATCAGCCAGATTATTTATACTGGCAGTGTACAGAGCTTTACCATTTTCCTGAGGTCAGAAATTATCAGCCATGCCTTACAGATAGGAAAACTGCCATGTAGAGGAGAAGAAAACTTGCCGTGTGCCCCAAGCTGTGCATATTACCTGTTGACACAGAACTTATTGTAACCAAAGGTTATGTGATTGTCTATATCGCATAACCCAAACAACCCCTTCCACCTCCCTAAGGCAGAAGAGAGCTTTCATCACTATTTTGGGTGGTTCTACTTACTCATCCAATTAAAATTTTATCATGATCTTTTTTCTGTACAGAAATCACATGTTGAAGACACTACAGTTTATGGGATGGTTGTTGATGCTATACTGTTCTATAATCTTAAAACTACTAAGCTTCTTAAAGACAAGCTCTCCTAAGCTTCTCAAGGACAAGTTGGACAGTCATTTCACAAAGATTTCTTGAAGGCCTACAATGTGCTAGGCACTGTGTTACCTGTTAGGGGGTTGTAAATACAAAGATCCAGTTCTGTCCCCTGAGAGCACCTGAGTTTGATAGGTACAGAATTTAATGAGACCCTCTTTCTAATGATGGTTGAAAGAACCGCTTTGCAATCCCCACATTTTACTCAATGCAGCTGTCTTTATTTATACATCCCATAGCCTACAGGACAGAAGCCACTGTAGGAGTTGCAGTCTCTGACTCCAGTGTCAACTGCATTGAACAGACCACAGAATGGAGTGCATGTTCCAAGAGCTGTGGCATGGGTTTTTCCACTCGGGTCACCAACAGGAATCCACAGTGTGAGATGGTGAAGCAGACTCGGCTGTGCATGGTGCGGCCCTGTGAGCAAGAGCACAAGCAACCAACAGACAAGGTAGGAGCCTAGAGGTAGCCTCCCATCGCAGACGCGGTGTCTGGCCTCATCCGGGCCTGGGCTTTGGAAAGTCACTGTGACTCTAGTTGACTCAGAGGTCATCTCTTGCTAGGAGTTAATCCCAGGGGAAAGGCAGAGAGGTTCCTAAAGTGAGTGTTTACCTTCTTTTTTTTCTCTTTGATGGATTGAAATATCCCAAGCAGCTCACAGCAGGTCCACAGGTTAAGAGCGAGGGGCCAGTCAACTATAATAATGTCCCCAATTGAGAATGGTCTGGCAAGTCCCATTCTGTTCCTGGAGAAAACTGGCTCCTTTTAGAGAGGTCATTTCTGAGCCCAGTTTCCTTCACTCCTTCAATCTGTAGGAAGCAATGGAGTAGGAACCATAGCTCCTTGCTCACCCCTCAGTCCCTAACATCCTACCTGGTACATATTTTGTGCCTGATAAACAATTGTTGATGAATAAATGAATGGATGTCTGGGAATTATTTTCAGTATTTTTAAAAGCCTAGTGGGAGTAGTATATTTGCCAGCATAACACAATATGTGCCAAACAAAATAGCACATTTCTTTCCTTTTTTGCTGGAATTATATCAACTCAGAGTGTTAATGCTGAGTGCAAGGCATGCAGATCCAAAGCTCTGATTGGTTCCTGATGATATCACAGGCCTTGTTAGCAGAGCCCTGGATCAGATAAATGCACTACCCAAATTGAACTATTATATGGACCCTCGTACAAACCTAAGGCCAAAATAAAACAGTCCCTAGCAATGAAAGATTTGCATATCTCTGTGCTGAGGCCATAGCATCTAATGCTTAAGGACGCAGCTCTGGAGCCAGACAGCCTGGCTGTAAATCCCGGCTTCCCACGTGAGCTAGCTGTGGGATCCTGGGCAATTTTCTTAACCTCTAAGCCTCAATTTCTTCCCCCATATAATGGGGCCATTTACAGTGGAGGTAGGACCTAAACGTTCTTATGAGGATTAAATAGAATGAATTTGCAAAGTGCTGGGCATAGATTACTCTGTTAACATTAGGCATCGTTACTTGACATTAAGCATCATTTCTGTTTATTGATAAAAGAAAGAGTCTAGTGGTTGCAGTAGTTATATGGCAGCTCAGCTATATGACTTTTTGAGGTCCATCCTAATTTTATGTTTCTTCCACCAATTTAGAAAGAACATCTAGAAACACTTTATGCCTAAAATTATATGCTAGAAGCCACACCTCTTGATACTTAGGGGAATTCTAACACACATGTAACATAGTCAGGCAGGGGCACCCACGAAACAGTCTCTGTCCCCATCTGTCTCTCACTTACATGTACATACAGACACACAGGTATCCATACACATACGGAGGTGTTGCTGACCTTGCATCTTTTTGTGGATGTTGGCAAGAATATATGCTAAACATTAATATGAAGAAGGAGGAGGGGCTGGCCCCATAGCCAAGTGGTTCAAGTTCCGCACACTCCTCTTCAGTGGCCTGGGGTTCACGGGTTCAGATCCCAGGTGCAGCTCTATTCCACTCATCAGCCTTGTTGTGGAGGCGTCCTACATACAAAGTAGAGGAGGATTGGCACAGATGTTAGCTCATGGCAGATCTTCCTCACAAAAAAAAAAGAAAGAAAAGAAAATGGAAGAAACAAGAATCCCTTAAATATGGTGAAGGATACCGAAGCTCCTTTATTAAATAAGGCTTTTCCATGGGTTGCCTCTAAAATTTTGCTTTTTCTATTGTTTGTTTTACCAAAATTTGTATTTTTTCTTGTAACTTGCACCCTGTTTAATATTGGGAGATACTATATTTAAGATATTTATTTATAGTGTAAATATATTTCATAAAGATTCTAGAAATTTGTTTGGAATCTAGGGAAATACTAGAATAATAGTTATTACTTTCTTATCACCAAGAGATTCTTAAAGGTGAGACAGTCCTCAAAGGGTAGTCCCCAAACTAGCAGCAGCAGCCAAGCCTTTTTAGAAATGCAGATTACTGGGGCATACATCAGACCAACTGAATCAGAAACTCTTGGTGTAAGGCCCAGCAATCTGTGTTTTACCAAACTTTCTAGATGATTCTGATGCACACGAAAGTTTGAGAACACTGCTTTAAGAAAATTCCGTGTCTCCTCATTCCACAAGCTGTGGACTGTGCCTAGGAAGGTAGAAAGCAGTGGAGAAGTGTGGCAAATTTGTAGGTGAAGAAATCTAAGTGGGAAATAAAAATGTAGTCAATTCCTTGCTGAATTATCAATATTAGGGCTCCTCATCAACCGTTACTAATGGAATATTAAATAAATTCCCCACTTACTCTGCCTTCATGGAAAATAACCTTAAATTCTATTGTCTTAGACTTTCCTGAGGTTATAGAATAATAGAAGGGATGGGCTTTGCTTCAGACAACTTCAATTACTAGATGATTTCTAATTATTTTTGTCCTTGGAGCCTCCACGTACTCATCTGTAAAACTTGGGCAATTGTTCCTTATGTTAATAATTGTTTCTTGTATGAGTGAATGTTATTAATAACGTTAAGTGAGTTAATGTCTAAAAAATATTTGAAACATTAGTAGGCTTGCAATAGTGACAAATGTATTCCCTTTCTCTTTATGACACCTGAGAATGCGTTTGGCTAAAAATAACACCAAAGCCTGTTGTAGTGGCTTGAAAAAATAGGTTTGTTTATAATACATAGGCTTTCACCCTCATGCTTAATACCACAAGGTCAAAAGATGGTTGTGCATGATTAGGTCTGGTTTCCACTTCCTAGACAGGAAGGAAAACGAATGCAGGAAGCAATAAAGAGCTATACCTGTTTTGAAGGGCGAAGGATTTCCCAGAATCCCTTGATTTATGTGTCATTGGCCAGAACCTTGTCACAAGGCCATCCAAGCTCCTAGACATTCTAGGGAAGCAAACTCTTTTAGCTGACCACATTGCCTAACAAAATTAATGTTTTGTTAGCAAAGAAGAAAGAGTAATGGATATTGGGTGGGCAACTTGCAAGTTATTCCATACCCTTAAAATGGTCCCTTGGAGGAACGATAGCCATTCCATGCATCACTCCTTTTCTTCTTTCTTAGAAAGGGAAAAAGTGTCTCCGCACCACGAAGTCACTCAAAGCCATCCACCTGCAGTTCAAGAACTGCACGAGCCTGCATACCTATAAGCCCAGGTTCTGTGGGGTTTGCAGTGATGGCCGGTGCTGCACCCCCCACAACACCAAAACCATCCAGGTGGAGTTCCAGTGCGCCCCAGGGCAAATCATCAAGAAACCAGTGATGGTCATCGGGACCTGCACCTGTCACAACAACTGTCCTCATAACAACGAGGCCTTCCTCCAAGAGTTAAAGCCGAACACCAGCAGAGGGAAGATGTAACCTGTATCCCTCGAGAGGCACACCCACAGAGGCAAACTGTAGCTGCCCACCATCAAATGAATATAAGAAAAATGATGAAGAGTTATTATTTCACCCCTGAGTCCTATGTATTTTCTGTGGTCGTATGAGGTCAGTTATATCTGTCTTTTTTTAATGAAAGATATGATTAACAGTAACCTTGGAATCAAGGTAAGCTCAGGATAGTGCTTAGGGATGGCTGACTTTTCCGTGGTGTTTATTCCAAAAGAAAATCTCTACAAATTTAAGAAAGCAGACATATGTTTTACTGTGTAGACTCTAGCGCATTCCACCCATCTTATTTTGTTATACACTTGTGCAATTTCAAGAAAATGACACTGTAACGAATGACTCAGTGAAGTCCAGGATCTTACTGAAGATGTCAAATATTTCACCATATATTGAGGTTTGACTTGATTCTCTGTTGAGCTCTCTCTTTGTGGAGCTCAACTCTGAACTTCCAAGTCCGAGATCTGAGGAAACAAAAAGCTCTCAACTTGAAATCCAGAGGTTTCAAGATTTAGTTTTCTGTTTAGTTATTCACTAGGAAACTAGAGGTATCTGCAGTAATGGAGTTTGTTGATTAAGTGGACTGGTGTCATAAGCATTTCAGACAGATTGACTCCTTTCCAATAGAAAGAAGCTGAACAGAAGACTCCCCCTAATACGGAGATGGCCAGACCCTCGCAGCCCTCATCCTTTTGTACCTGCTGGAGGCCACTGGGGCTGGCTAGTTTTTTAATTCAGAAGAAGCAGAGCATATCAGCAGAGATCCTCTCATCTTACTGATAAGTAAACTGAGGCCCAAAGCACCCGATGACAACCTTTGATGACTTCCAAATGTGCTTGTAGTGGAATTTTAAAAAAGAAGGATGGAATCGACATGACCGTGGTGGCAAGAGACGACAAATTTTATGGGACTCTAGGATTATTGTAGACATGCCCAAAACTTATCCTTGGGCCATAATTATGCAAACTCACGAACAAGATCTGCGTGTATCTAATTTGTCAGGCTATCAGATAGGCTGCAAACTTAAATGTATACATTCTTCTAATGTCACCATATGTGTTCAGCTTTTCTCCTTTAATGTATTTATATAAATGTAAGTTATACATTTTTTAAAATATTCTTTTTACTTCTCTACTTGTCAGACATCACTAAATAAACATGATCTTATCAATGTGTGACTCTGCTATTACTTTTGTGTTTATAAGTTGTTTATTGAAAATAAAAATAAAATTTTAATTTACAAATTAAATCAGACACCAGGCGACAGCTTCTGTTGAAAGCAAAGTGAATATTTTTAGATGAGCTTACAATTTCTTATCAGAATGGAAACAGAAAACAGCTCTTACTGAGTTAGATGATGTCTACTGCCAAGGGCTCAAATATTCTCCACACTGTTTACTCAAACCAACACCTTGAGCCCTGGCATTTTTTTCTGGACAAGCTGCTAGATACCACTATATATTATTAAAATTTGAACTTCTTGTTGGATCAAGCAAAACTCACCTCCCTGGGTTCTTTAGCTAGTTAAAGATCTCTCTATCCTCCCAGTTACCCAGCTTCAACCACCAGCGTTATCTGAATCAACCTGCTCTTGCTACCTTGCTACATGCCCAGAAAAGCATATTTCCAGGGGCAATGCAGAGCAGAGCAATGAGCAGGGCTGCCATCTGAGAGTGTGAGGGTCAGAGTTCATATAACTTTTGTCGTTTAAAGCTTCTGGCTGATGTAGTGGGTCTATAGTTCTTCCATAATTTAAAAAAAAAAAAAACTTTTCTTATTCTCAACTTCGCTTCCTGTATCTGAAGTTTCCTTCTCACTCATCTCTTTAAGTAGTGTCTCTTTGTCATTTAAGATCGACTGTAAAGCAGGAGTTTATTCAAAGGAAATTACCAAAGACAGCTATTTGCCACATACTTTGTGATGAACGCTTTACCTTCATTGTATCAGTTAATTTGCACAAGAGCCCTACGAGGTGGGCATTCCTCCCCATTTTACAGATGAGGAAACTTTTAAAACTTTAAATGGATAGGGCCAGTCTGGTGGCATAGTGGTTAAGTTCACGCACTCTGCTTCAGCAGCCCGGGGTTCATGGGTTTGGATCCTGGGCATGGACCTACACACCACTCATCAAGCCATGCTGTGGCAGCATCTCACATAGAAAATAGAGAAAGATTGGCACAATCTTCTTCAAGCAAAAGGAGAGAGATTGTGAACAGATGTTAGCTCAGGGCCAATCTTCCTCACCAAAAGATAAATAAATAAATGGATAAAAGAAACTAGTGGATCTAGAACTTAAACCAGAATCCTTTTGCTTCTGCTTTAAACTCTCACATTTCCATGCAAAGATTGTCTATCTGAGAGGCTGTTTAGTCCAATACTGTCTGTAATAGAAAAATGGGAACATTCAAAGGTCCAACAATACAGATTTGGTTATGGATAAATCCTAGTACCTCCATTATGATGAAGAACCAAGCAACCTTTAAAATGAAAAGGTAAGAAAATAGTTATGCCCCCAAAAGGTCTAGAACTATGGAAAGGGTCATTCAGGTTTGTTCAAAAGTATCCATGAAACAAATGAAAAGAGAACTAGGAGAGAATATGCAACAAATATTACTGATGATGTCAAGATGTTCTCATTTTTTTTCCTTTTTTGTGATTTCTTTACTTTTTTTCCTTTTTAACTGAAAATATGCTACCTTTATAACCAGAGAAAAAAAGGCATGGCTGACTTCAGCTATCCCTTCAAGGGCAGTTCCCTCACACCTCTACTCATTCATGCTGAGTTGGCAGCTCCTCCTAGCATCCAAGACATTGACTCTTTCATTCATTTTGTTCATTCAAAAAATACTGACTGACTGCTTCTGTATACGTAGCATTGTTTAGGTCCTGGGAATACAGCCATGAATAAAACGAATGTCAACAATAAAATAAACAAGTTACCTCTTTTCTCTGTAATTTATATCTTGTTGGCAAAGGCAGGCAAAAGCAGGAAATAAACAACAAAGAAGATAAATATCAAATAGTGATAAATAAACCCTAGTACAATCATTGCAACAGCATGATCTGATTTCTCGGTGGCTAATTTGCCTGGAGGTCGTCAAGGAGGTTGTTTCTGAAGAGATAGCATTTCATCTTAGAGCTGAATAACCAAGGTCAGGAGAAAGAATCTTCCAGGCAGGGGTAACCACTAGTGCAAAAAACCCAGTGTCAGGAATAAGGTTGGAGCTTCATTAAAGAAGATCCATGTGGCTGGGGCAGTGCATGAGGAGAGTGGGAGATGAGGTGATTGAAGAGATGGAACATGTAGGGCATGCCTCTCCATCAGAGGTCCCATGCTATTTTACAACTGATTCTTTAAATCCCATTACACTAAGCATCCTGAGACCAGCATCTTAGTCTTCTCTGTATCTGTCCCAGTACCTGGCACACAGTAGGACCTCACTGCATATATGTTGAATGGATGAATAAGTGAATGAACGAATTGACTGCGCACTGACAAAACATAGAATGTTCTTTGAAATAAATGTTAGGCTTCTAACTATCATTTTCATTGTCGCTATCACTATGATTTTCATTATGACTATAGCTTGGAGAACAATCCTCCACTCTTTTAACACATACAAACACGTACACATATGAATGCAATCCTGAAACCATAACCAAAAACAGTTGAAAAAATGTGATCTGATCTATAAATATCTGCAAAGTACAGAATGTTCTAGCAAGACAACAAGGAAAGCAACATTTACTGAGCAGAGTTTAGGACTACAGAAAGCGGGCAGGCTTGGGAGTCATTCAAGCCTGGGTTGGAACACTAGGCCTATTCTCTCCCAGCTGTGGGATATGGGGCAATTAACACACAATCTCTGAGCCTCGGTTTCCACACCTGTAAGATGAGACCACAATATTGATAGAGTGACCAACCACCCTAGTTTGTCTTGGACTGAGATGGGCCCTGGGACTCAAGACTTTCGGCAATAAAATCAGGACAGTCCTGGGCAAACTGGGAAAAGTTGGTCGCCCTAACTATCAACCGCATATTGTAAGATAATATGTGTTCATAAGCGCTTGCTGTTCCAGGCACATAGTAGGCCTGCAGATGATAGTATAATAAGTATCTAGTAAAGCCAAGCAGTGCCCCTTAGTCTATGTCTGTCCTATTCAGACCTCCTTATTAACCTCATTTTTAGAGGGAAAGAGGAAGGGACTCAAAGAAGCTAATGACCTATTAAGGACACAGTAAATGAAGGAGCTGGGATTCAAACTCAGGGTCTGCTTGAGCTCAGAGCCAAAGAGCTTTCCTTTTTACAGTGCCGCAGTCGCTGAGGCCAAGTATATTTTCAGCATCCAAAACAATTCCAGCCGTTTTCATTTTTGTGCTATTTTCCCAAACTATAAATGTTCTCTTTTAGAAACAGCATTGCAAAGTAGTGAGATGGTTGAGATCATTCTGTGAATGTGAAATTTTGAAAGCACTTAATTGCTATTTAGTGATAAGGCAATCTTCATTGAAAATTATTTGGGGATTTTTCTTTTACCACACAAGGATTTAATTCAACAATGCAGCAAGGACATCTTTAACTACACAAGGAAATAATTTGTCACATACTTGTCTGTGCTTGATGAGATTATCAATGAAGCTTTTGATGGAGATTTCTGGGCAGTAATAGATGTCTCTGCCAGTATCTTCCTTGGAGAGACCCATCGTCATGTTTCCGGATGGTTTTCACTCTAAAATGTTCAGTATTATAAGTCAAATCATCAAAACAGTATGTCCTTTTGGCTGTGTGCTATCAAGCTTAGTTCGAAGATTCATTATTGTTGGAAATGTATTCATCTTAACCACACTGCATGGTCCTTGCAGGCAGTGCTATGCTGTCTTGACCACAGAGGGTTCACCAAATTCAATTACCACTTCAATAACACTGCTGGCACTTGCTGAACTCTGAATAATGAAGCATTCTCCGCAACCATCCAGCTAAGGACTGTGAATTCCTGTTACTTTAAGCCAGCTGTTCCAAGGATACTCAGGAAGTGCAAAGGGTAAAGATGGCAATGTTGTAACATTCTTCCTAAAGGATGTATATCTTTCTCCTTAGGACAAGAAAATGAAGGTCTGAATTTCAGTCCAGGAAGCGCTACAAAAGTTCCATTCAAATGGCAGAGTTCCACACAATGAACAGCCCACCGGTTCTACTGGAAGGAGCTTAGAAATAAATGTTCTATAATCCAAGAAGAGGATGTTGCTTGGACTTATTTTTTATTAGCAAAATCTGAGAAACAGGCTCTGCTTGTAACAGATTCAGAAGTCTGGAAGAGGTTACAAAGTTCTCAGCATGGGTTAAGTAAGGGTCACTATGCTCCAAGCTGACCCAGATTTGTCATGATGAAGCAAGGCCACTCACAAGATCCTTGGAGGACCTTGGCAGACGAGATCCCAGTAAATGTGAGTCCTAGTTGCACTGAAAGCTCGGCAATGAGAATCTTCTCCAATACTTTGCAGAGCCTCTCAGCCTCCGGGAAAAAGGATGAAAACTGCATGGATCCTGTTGAGTGTGCCCTGTCATCTCCATCTCCCCAAACTCCTTATCCTGGTTTAAGACTCTACTTTAAGTTCACTTTCTCTAAGAAGACTTCTTGATCGGCACCTTTCTGCTCCAACAGAACCGACTACTCCCTTTCACGTGCCCAATTGCTCCTTATAACAACTACTATTATAGCAGCTAAAACATCTTACCTCTGTTATTTGCATTGATATCTGTCTCTCACTAGATTCTAAGCTCCATGAGGGCAGGGGTCTTGTCTGGTTTTCTCACCACTGTTTCACACCATGCTTCTCAAAACGTTCCATCATGTTACTCCAAACAGCTGAGCATAATGAACACCTGCAGCAGAAATCCAGCATATCAGGCCAAAGCTTCTCTGGCATGCCACATTTTCTCTTAAAAATTCAGGTAATTTGACTTCTCTTTAATATAGCCATATTCTTTTAAACAAAAATAGCATCTAAAATTTCAAATTGGCTAGCTTATTAAAATTTTCTCACCCAAATCTTCAAGTCAAATTGATGCTTCAGGATGATGCTTGGCATTTACACTGAAGCCTCTTGTATCTCCTTGCGTACTTCACATAGTCAAATTAGCAGTAATAATAACAGTAATTCCAATTTTTTTTCAAGTTTATCAAGTTTATTAGGCACCAGGCAAAATTTTGTTTAATTCATATATCAAAAAAATTTAAAATCCTGCCAGTTGACCTAGAATACCCCATCAATTGTAAACAGTAGTTAGCTCAGAGCTAATCTCCCACAAAAAAAAAAAAAGAAATACAAAATGCTTATTTTAGAAAATGAAATTTAGAAAGAAGATAAAGAAGGAGGAGGCAGAGGAAGACGAGAAAAACTAATATTTATCAAGTTTATTAGGTACCAGGCAATATGAAAAGTGCTTTACGTAGCTTATGTCATTTGCTTTAGTCCTTTGAAAACTCCTAAGTTATTGGTATTATTGTATATCAAAATTACAGGTAAGGAAAACAAAGCTTTGGGAAGATAAATAGCTTGGGCAAGACCGTAGATCTATTATGTGATAAAGCCTGATCTGAATCATCACATTCTTAATCCAGAATTTGTGCATTTAATCCATCTGCCTTGTTGTCTATATACTTATTCCAGTTGAGAAGTAAGTAGTAGGTTCTCAAGAAAGTCAAATGGATGAATGAGTTGCTACTAAAGCCTGAAGGATTTGGGCTCTGGACATTGGTCAGTATCCATGGAACTTCCCTAACAGGAGCATGGGGGGGCATATGTAGCTCTTTGCCAAGCAAAATCGTTGACTTTGGGTAACAAGTCTGAGTCCAAGAACTGCCAGGAGCATAATCTTGAGCTTTTCACCAGCCATTGAGATTAAGGGAAGCATTTCATCTTTTATGTATTCATTAATTACGTAATTAGTCAATTCAACAAATATGTATTGAGCATCTACCACATTCCAAGTTGGAACTGAAAATAAAGCAGTGAACAAGGCAAATACAGTCCTTACCCTCAGGAAGCTTATAGTCTGATGGGTTGTATGAGTTTTTCCTTAGAGCTCAATTCCTCAGACTCAATTATCCACCCTTTTTAGCCTTTCCTTGTTGGCTCCCATTCTCATGGGAGTGGGCTTCCTAGAGCTCATCCCCACTATTGGGTGACCCTCAAATCCCAAAGATCCAGAGAAATTAAACTCCCTAGAACTGATTCTGAAGCAGTGCAGACCCCTGTTCTTACGTAAGCCAGCTCTTCATCTGAAGTGTCCTGAGAAGCCAATTTCTCACCTGAATATCGGCTACTTACAGAGACCCCTCTGCAGAAGTCATGGGAAAGGTGAGTCTCTTGTGCCTATTAAACACACACTTGGAAGATTTCAGAAGTACACAGAGAGGTGGGGGTTCCAGAGGCCTCCCTCTAAGCCCCCATTCATTTAAGAGAACTATCCAGCCCCCAACCCTATGTTCAGTGGTTTATTCAGAGGGATCATGTTGTGGTCTTTTTCCTTTTGGAAGGAGGGCTCAATTTTTATTGTGCCCATACCCTTCTTGTTGCTATATTATCTACTCGGAATGTCTTCCTTCCATTAGTTTCACCTTTTGAAATCTTGTCTACCAGAAAATGCTATGCGCTAAGTTTACCCAACCCTCTATTACCCAATCCTTCTTGACACCATGCCTCTTCGACCAAGGCAAAAACCTGGTAGTGTTCATTGGAAAACACTGAACTTCAAATCAGAAAGCCAAGTCACATCCTAGTTGCTTGGGTTCTATACTTCTATGTCCATAAGTGAGGATGTTGAATTCAGCACCTTCTGTGGTCTCATCCATATTGACACTTACAGAGTACCTACTGTGTGCAATGCACTTATAAATATCATCTTTATAACCTTATCTTTCCTCATAACAACCCTACAAGATAGTATATTGCCCTATTTTATAGACGATACTGATAAGGATTAAAATCCATGGATGCCTGGCTGCAGAGGTCAGAGTCCTTACAACATGACTTACCATCAGCCCCCAAGAGCTTGTAGTGCCCTTCCTCTACCCATTCTGTTTTATTATAAAGAGCATTCTAAAGGCTGAACTCATTGCAATACAAGCACTTCTGGTTTTTTGGATTAGAAAATAGCTGCCATGGCCTCTAGATTTATTCTGGTCTCTCTAGGCACTGTGGTGAGAAAATCAGCAACGAAAATACTACTTAAAACTGTGCCTACATAACATCTCCCAAACTGGTAGGGATGTGACAAAGTCAACCAGAAAACCAGCTATTGAATCTATATCCCACCAATCAAAAAATTTGACTTTTTTTTTCTTATAGGAACACAAGCTTTATCAGGCTGCTCTAATAAGGTATAAAGGTGAATCTATAAATGTAAAGGTTTATAGACAGATTCGTTGAATTGGTCAGCTTATGTTTTGGAATGGGTCATTTCATTTCAAACAACTTGTATGTAACCCAAGTTACTATCTAGTTAATGACCATTCAATATATTAAAAACAAACCATCCATTTGGTAGAGCCTCACTAACATTTTTTAAATCAACCTGTACTACATATCCAAGAGAAATGTATTAATTTGTTAATATTTTTACTCAGTCAAAGCTTGGGATTGTCTAAGGTCTGACCATGTACCTTTTGTCATATTAGGTTGGTCATCACAGATAAATTATTATGACACACATTCTTTAACAAAATACTTGAACTTCATACCACGCTAGGATGGTTAATGCAATACAGAATGTTCAAACTTGGAACAAAAGTAAAGTCCAAGTACTATTTTCTATGACTCCTTAACACCACAAAGCCCTGCCTTTTAGTGGGCATTTTTTTCTTTCAACACTTTGTATTGATTTACACATTTCTTCAATCCTATATACATTAACTGTTCATTTACAGGAGCTTCAAATCTCATTAATTGCATATGCCTTTTTTTCACTGATTTTCTACTACTCTTTTATTTTTCTGTATCTTTCTCTTCTTTGATGAATAGCTCTGAAAATGTCCAAAGAAGGTATTTTACTGTATTCTGTGGGAGAAAAAATGACTTTATTTGACTTGGGTGTTCCCTGAACTCTACAGTCTCACTCTGAAAAATATAGTCACAGCCAAGATACCCTGATTTTTGCTACAAGTTCTCATCCCCACCCTGGTGAGCTAGGTGTGCATAGCATTTTGTACATGGGCAGTAAGCCCAGAGGCCAAAGTGCTTTCATTGATTATCTAGAGCTTATGTAGGCTCTTGGCCAAATTTTAAATTACTCAGAATTTGTGTATTCTACAGAATAAAAACACATTTATGTGTTCTTGGCTATTCCCCTGCTAGTTACATGATTCAGTTTTAAAGAGCAGTTGATACATTACAACTCACGAGGAACCACCTAGAGTAATATTAAAAGGGTGTTGCTTTGTTTCCACGCTTTCATGTTTGCCTTCTTCTCTTCTCTCTCCAACTTTTCCATTTTTTGCTTTCTTTTCTTCAAAAGATTTTTGGAAAGTGCAGGCCCTCCCCAATCTCTTGGTCCCCTGGGATGACAGTGAATTGTGACATTTGCTCTGTGTACCCACTGATGGCCTATTTTCTAGGCTAAACCATTAAACTGCCCTTATCAAGTTAGGAAACCATCTTTGAGATTATTCCTAAACTTAAGAGTGGGAAAGCAAACATAGGAGAAATTTCCTGCTCAATCTGAAATCATCAAAGCCGTTACTACAGTCATGGATAATACTTTATAGGCTGTGTTTTAACTCTCTTCAGTCCTCTACAAAATGTTAAACAATAATTCTGCACAAAATGGGTACACAATAAATGTTGTGTAAAAAAATAAAAGGATAAATTGATGGAAGGATCATTAGATGGAGAGATTAGATGGGTGAATAAAGGTATTAATGGACGAATAGATGAACAAACAAATGGGAACTGGCACTTTATGACTATCATTCCTTCACCCTTTAAATAAAAGTTTTACCTTTGCAAAATTGATGCTAAAAGTCTGGAAAATTCCATTAACAGTCATCTCAGGAACTTGTCCAGAGCTCACATCTGCCTAAACCAATTGCTCCATCTTCCTTTCCCGGTTCTCAGCAACCCTCCTTATAGTTCTATGCCTCATTTCATTGTTTCTACTGATTCTTGTCCTTAACCTTAACCTGACCCGATTTCTTATGTATGTCTTCCAACCGCATTCTCCCTAACTTTACCCTTTCCATCTTTATGAGCCTGGCCACCTACGTTGGTCTATTCTCTCCCAACCTGTCTATCAAGGTATAGGAATTGGAAAGTTTACTTGAGCTGTTAGACTTAAAACCAGCACAATTTTCATTGGTATTGTTGATTCCCTTTGTCTTTGCCTGAATAACAAAGAACTCTAATACTACTGTGTGTGTTCGAGAGCCTTCTTTGCTACCAGTCTCCCAATTTTGTTCAGGATTAAGGCCGAAGTAGCTTAAGGAAGGTAGTACTCTCTTCTACTCTAAGGGAAAAATGTATGTAAAAGTAGTTTTAAAATTCTAAAACCCCATTTGAAATAAGTTACTATTAGGGGCATTAGCTGTCTACACAACTCCAAGACATCTGAATATAAATTCAAATTTTTCATCATCCAGATGCTTGATATTTGAAAAAGCCCGCTTGGCATTCTAGTCCCAACCCTCTGAATGATTAATGGAGCAATAAGCAGGAAAAGTCAATGTTTGTCATCTTGCAGACATTTTCCCTATAAAGCTTAAGTACCCTAACTGTGCTGCAGAGAAGGAAATATTATAAGTAGGTTTTAAAAAATTTGACCATACACAAAAATAGTCAAGCAATCTGAGTCACTTAGCTAAAAGAATAAATGACCGCTGGCAGAAAAGACAATCATCTCGGTTTTGGATATGTTTCTGTGCTTCGCAGAAGATCATATCAAATGTTTGAGAGCGTAACTCCTGTTACAAGTATTCTTTATGGTGGTAAGAAGGTGAAGTGTTCCATGGACAATGCCTCTATCTATCCTGATTCAATTTAACAAGACAATATTTACTAAGCAACCAGTGTGTGTAAGGTTATTCTCGTGAAGGTGATATGCAGAACGCCCCATAATTTTGATGTTTGGAATCCTCCAACTTAATTCCGTGAAGACGTGATGTATCATTATGTGAGAAGTAATTAACATTTACCAAGCACTTACGAAATTCAAATACAGCAAAATCTTCCTTTTCTATTACAGAAGATATTCGTTGCTAACCTGGGGAGGGTACTCACAGAATTCAATTTTATTTTCTCTCCAGCCTGGAAGGAACTTCTCTGCTGCTATTACCAGATTTGGGTCTCTGACCTGCTACCATCATCCCAATACTTGTAATGGCTTCATTTGATACTCTGTAGTGGAGTGAGGGATAAAATAGGGGAAATTTGCTCTCAAGTATATCACCACAGGAGTTCACAAAATGACTACCTTCTCTTCCCTGAGAACCACCTTACCTTTCTTACTCATGCCAAATATCTACTGGACTATGATGGGACTATAAAGGGACAGGTAGGGTAGATCTCAAAACAACAGTCCAAGGATAAGAGGAGGAGAGCTTAACTTGGTCCAATTTATGCATTCTTTTGCACTTCACTAGCGAAGGAAATCCTTGAAAGCAGGGTGCTCCAAATGAATTCTCTGTATTTCCTTAATATTCCTTATTTTTTTCACACTACTCTCTTTCAAGTCCCCTACTTCAAAGTCCAATCTGGCCTCTCAGATAATTCTACCCCTTCCCAATTAAGTCCTTCCATCTCTACTTAACTTTTATAAACTCAAGTGCCTGAGGCATTACCCTGAGGCTAATGGAAGTTTTACTGGACTCAGTCCTGTTTGACTCATGAGAAGAGGACTGGATCAGAGTCCTGTGGATGAGGCAGAAAATGAATGTTCTGAGTTTCATCTTCTGTCATCAAGTGGCTCAGCTGATATCCTCATGAGTTTACCTAAGAAGGGAGAGTACCTCCAGTCAAGGATTGATTTTTCCTCGAAAACAAAACAAACCAAAACCAAAAAACACAGTCTGTTCTGATATCATGATAAATGATATATCCCCTTTCAGCATGACTGTGACCTCACCCTTTGTGGAAACAATGACCCTGGAATTATTGAGAGAGGGGCCTTTGATTCTTTCTTAGGTCTGACTTATGCTCCTCTGTTCTAATGGGGTAGCTGCGGCTCTAATTAGGTTGATTTCCATTCCAAATATCCTTACAAACATTATCTCATTCAATGCTCTAACTACCCACTGAGGTACTGATTTTTCCACCCATTTTACTTGTTAAGATCCCTTAGAGTCCTAGCACTCTCACATTTAGTTAATGATTCTGGCATTTAAGAGAAAAATATGCAATCTGTAAGCTTAAAAGAAATAACTTATAATAAGTTCATTTGAACCATCAGTCATGTTTTCCACAAACGACGTAAGCCTTTAATTGCCTAAGTTTTCCAAAGGAATAGTAAAGCATCTTGCTGGTTTTGTGGATTTCAGCCTTTTCTAGAAAGCTCTTCAGCAGTATCCATTTAGAGAACTTGGAGAAGACAATCTTTATTGAGTGGACATTATGACTATTATCATAAACTGGGAATACTCCTATTTCTCTGTATTGCAAAGCATAGCAAAATATCTTATTCAATATACTCTTATAAACTTTATAAATCATAACCCATTTTGCATGACAGACCTACCCAAGAAAAATGAGGAAAAGAGACTGAGATTTCTATTCTTTCTAAATCATGCTTCATTCCAATTTATCCCCCATATCAGAGAAAGATAACTGATGCTATTTGGATGAGCTCATTTAAACATGTCAAACTCTTTTCATAAAGATTAATTAGACTATGTCAGCTATGCTGGTGGTAAAGCCATCTAGTTTTAAATCTTGAAGAGGTAATATACGAAACATGCTCAATCTTTAGCATGGCATGCATAAAATCAATATTTCAAGCTCCTTTGGGAGTTACAGCCCAACATGCTGCTTATAAATTGTCATAATGACCTCACCCAGCCCCTCCTGTCCAATGGGGAAAATGGGATTACTCAGCCTTCAAGGAGGAACTCAAAGACTAGGCAGTTCACAGGAGCTGTGGACAGGCTGATGGTTTTCTAGAAGACAAATGTCAGATGTAGAAGTTTCCTAGATGCCATGCCTTAATCAGTCCCAGCTGCTCCTAACTCAGAGAGCCAAACTCAGTCATCGGAAACGCTTTGGGGACAGCAAAGCAGGGGCATGTTCAGAGACCATCCTGAATGGCTTCTCACTACACAAGAGATCATAACAGAACTTCCAAATATTCTATGCAGAAAAGGACCTCAAAATTTCCTCTGGTCTTACAAGATCTTATGGCGTATCTCACTGAATGAAGGAATTCCTGTTGACTGGTCTCTCTGAGCTTATTATCAATGTTTTAATTTCTGAGTTTCTTAACTTTTTGGAAGACTGAGGTTCTCCTTTGCAATTTGGACCATCTAAGATTTCCGCCATTTCTCCCATTGGTGATTAGAAACTCCATCTCTACTGGAGGTTGCTTTGGAAGGAGCCTGAGAAAGATATGGTTTAAGACTGACTAGCACAATGTTTTCAACTCGGGATACTTTTCTTCCCCAGGGGACATTTAATAATATCTAAAGACATTTTTGATCCTAACAACAAGGGGGCTGCTACTGGCATCTAGTGGGTAGAGGCCAGAGATGCTTCTAAACATCCTACACTGCATAGGACAACCCGCACAACAAGGAATTATCCAACCCAAAATGTCGAGAAGCCTTGCACCAGCATAATGGCAAAAGCCTAAGTTTAATCATTGGCAAAAGCTCAATAGATTAAAAACTCCCTCATACGATGTTGCAGGAGACAAGAAAAAGACAGGCTAGTTATTCCAATGTTAACTAATAAGAAATCTCTGAAAGGAGATGTTACAGAAAGCACTTTTGCGACAAGATTGAGCAAGCCCCCAAATACATGTGGCTTCACAGTTGGCCCTTAGAACACAACTTAGAAAAGTAAATTCCAGGGATAACTGGAAAAAGGAATTGATACCCAAACATAGTCCCCGCTCGTAACATATTTTAGCTGACTTACGAACCTCCAAGTCTCCAAAGCGTTAATTTCCAGAAACACTGAAAGAGGAGTTAAGATAAACATCAGCTGCAAGTTGTTCTTAAGCCACAGTTGGAGAGCAGGAAATATATTTTTCATTCATTTTCTCTCTGTCTCTCTCCTATGTGAGAAACATGGCACGCACAATTGGCGCCTATATTATCCGTCGGCCAATACTTTATCCCAGTTGCCTTAGCAACTGTCAATATTTGTCTGGTATGTCACAGCCCCAGTTGGCTGGTGTCTGGTTCAGCATCTACTTGTAAAGTTTAGGGAAGGGAGACACCAAGTGGTCTAAACTAACTGTGCTGCTGAAAACCGTCTCCTGCTTCATTTTATTTTCAGTTGAGATATGCTTATTAACTTTTTTCATCTGATGCTCTTTTAATGACCAACAATCCCCACAGTTAAAGTTACGGAAACAGAGAAGAACAGGGCTTGGAACACTCACGTTTTCTGTAAAGTAAACCAAAATTCTGTAAATTTACCAAACAGTAAATAGTTTAGTTTTTGTGGGCCATATGGTCTCTATTGCAACTACTCAGTTCTCGCATTATAGCCCAAAAGCAATGTTAGACCATGTGTACACAAATCCTACATTACAATAAAATTTCATTTACAAAAGCAAGCAGCAGACCAGTTTTGGCCCACAGGCGATAGTTTGCCAACTCCTGCAAGAGAACATAGAATCTATGTGCTGTTTCAGTCTACACCCGCAACTGCCCCCTCAAGTCTCCAAAATTTCAAGACATTTGAAAGAATCCCTGCAAAAAGAAATACCATCGATATTCAGCCAATAACATTTGTACAACTATTTAATGTGTGCACACTGTGTTCCAGGCACTGTTCTGAATACCATGGTAACAGCAAGGTACAAGACAGTCAAAAATCTCTGTCATTGTGGAGCTTATATTTACAGTCAGTAATATAATGTATAAATAAGGTGCCTTGTAAGCCAAACGATGGTAAGTACTATGCCAAAATTTCAAAGGGGAAATCAGGACAGTAAATACTGAGTAAAGGAAGTACTGTAGGTTGAATTTTGTCCCCTAGAAAGATATATTGAAGTTCTAACCCCTGGTACCTGTGAATGTGACTCTATTTGGAAATAGAGTCTTTGCAGACGTAATCAAGTTAAGATGAGGTCATTAGTGTGGGCCCTGTTGGGGCCCAGAGCAGGCCACCCCAAAATATCCCACAATGGGATTGATTATTATTATTATTATTATTTTGAGGAAGATTAGCCCTGAGCTAACATCTGCTGCCAATCCTCCTCTTTTTGCTGAGGAAGACTGGCCCTGAGCTAACATCTGTGCCCATCTTCCTCCACTTTATATGTGGGCCGTCTACCACAGCATGGCTTGCCAAGCCGTGCCGTGTCCACACCTGGGATCCCAACCGGCAAACCCCAGGCCGCTGAAGCGGAAGTGCGCGCTTAACCGCTAAGCCACCAGGCTGGCCCCCCTTTTTTTTGTTTTTGGATTGATTATTTTTAATTAAAGTTATTTGAGAAGCAAAAAGGGCATTCTGACCCTCCTGTCTCTGTTCCCCCTGAGAGCAGGAAATAAGTCTCCCCTGCGGAAGGTGCTCTCCCTGCATCCTTATCACCAGAGCTAGGAATTCAGGGCCAAGAAACCCACACAAACAAACCTTAAATTAGCAAGAATGACCTTAAATTCCTCACTAATTACGAACCTCAAATCTAAGTTTCTTTATCTTGTCATTCCTCACAAATGTATTGTTTCTTTGTGTAAAAGATACATATACTGTCTGCTTTGTTCCCTCTCGGAGTCTCCTCTCTCTACGATCTCCAATACTTACGTACTAAACTGGGGTTTTCTCCTGTTAATCTGGTCTTGTGTCAATTTTATTATTAGTCCAGCCATAAGAACACAAGAAGGGAAGAAAGGGGATTTTTCCCTTGGTTCGACAGCCCTCATCCAATATGGCTGGGGCCCTTATAGAAGAGGAAATGCCATGTGAAGATAGAGGGACACTGGGAGCACCCCAGTGGTGGCAGAGGAAGAGATTGGAAGGACGCAGCTGCAAGCCAGAAAATGGTGAGGATTGCTGGCTACCACCGGAGCTGGGAAGAGGCAAGAAGGGATTCTATCCAGAGCCTCAGAGGGAGCACGGCCTTGACGACAACTTGATTTCAGACACCTAGCCAACTGAACTGTGAAAGAATAAATTTCTGTTGTTTTAAGCCACGCAGTTTGTGGTACTTCGTTACAGCAGACCTGAAACTAACACAGGAGAAGAGGAAAAAGAGTGGCAAGGAAAAGCTCCAGCAAGAAGGTGAAGGAGTAACTCGCAGAGATAACTGTGTGAAAGTAATCCACCCAGAGGAAACGGTGAGCATTAAGACCCTGAGGCAAAAAAAGATCAAGGATGCCCTTGTGCCTGGGGCAGAGTGGACTATGGGAGGAAAAGGAAGTGATAATATCAGAGAGGTAAATGGAGCAGGAGGGCAGTGGGTCTGTAGGTAACCCCATGGAATTTGGATTCTATACGCAGTGAGACACGATATTAAAGGATTTTGAATAGAAGAGTGAAAGATACTATGACTTAGTTATGAAAAAGATTGCTCCGGCTGCTCTGCCGAGAATATATCCTGTGGAAGCAAAGATGGAAGTAGGAAGGCCTATTATGAGGATATGTTACAGGCTCTTAACATCAGCCCTGATATCAGTTCCCCCACATTGAACCCAGCGTATATGGGGTTAAAACTAAAACCCACCACCCCCTTTCCTGCTTCTCTAGCTCCGCTCATATGTAAATACCTGTTTCTTTAAACTTGGACTCCTTGAGCTTTACAACTAAATGGGAGTTACAAATTGTTAAAAGCTCAGGTGGCCTGGAGTTGGAGGCACACTAAAGTTTAGCTAATCATGTGTCCTTGAAGTTTGCCAGGAAAGCCACTGTCTCAAGAATATCAAGGAGCGGAGGCTTCCCAGACCTCAACTCCTGGACTCCCGGTGCTCGAACCCGCCTCAAACAAGAAGACGAGACAAGAGACAACGAAGCCGCCTCAAACAGGAAGACGAGACAATGGCGAAGGACGCCCACCTGCCATCCTCCTGTCTCACCCTCCCCCTGCCTTGCTGCAAGCAGCCTCTCAAGGCCAAACACAGGCTGGTGGGAAAATGCCAAACTGCACAAGCTACATGCGCCCCCTCCCCTACCAAAGACCCCAAATAAAAATCCCTACCCATTCCTCATCGGGGAGCTAGCAATTTTTGAGGCATGAGCCCTTGCTTTGCTCCCTGTGCTTGGCATGGTAAAAACCTTTCCTCTCCACTCAAGACTCTGTTCTCGTTATTTGGATTGGCATCGGGTTCAGAAACCAAACTTTCCGTTACAGATACTGCAATAACCCAGGTGAGAGATACATGTAGAGGTAGAGGAGGTGGTGAGAAGTGTAGGGTTTATTGTTAGAACAAACAGAATCTGGGGGCATATTGGATATGAGATGTGAGAGAAAGCGGGAGTCAAAGATTATTTCAAGGTTTTTGCTTCCTGCAAATGGTTTAATTCATACTTATCATGGGGAACACTGGGGTAAGAGCAAACTTTTTGTGTGGGAGAGAACATCAAAAGTTCACTTTTGGATATATTCTAATTGGGATGCTTTTAAATAAATAAGTAGTTGAATATATGAGAATAGAATTCTGGGGAAATTCTAGGATACAGATTTAAATGTGGGTATAATTACTACATAATTGGTGTTTAAAGCCATGAGATCAGATGAGATTAACAAGGAAATGGGTATAAATGAGGTAGAGAAGAAGAGAATTCAAACAATTGAGCCCCAGATTACTGCAGCCCTCACTAATGGGAGACGAGGCGAACCAGTTAAGGAATCTGAAAAGAAGCTGCTAGAAAGATAAGAGGAGAACCAGAATGTGAGTTCCTGAAAGACAAGTGAAGAAAGAACGAAGTGATAAGATGTGTTAAATACTAGTAGCTTAGGTATAATGAGCCCTGAGAACTGCTGGATTTAGCTGGATTTGTCAATGTGGAGGTCATAAATAGTGTGAACATATAATTTATCATCCAAATCAAGGCAATCTGAGAGTCAAAATCATTCCTGGAGAACAGGCAGAGGCCAGGACTACCTGTACAACCTGAAATGTGCAATCACCTAGTCATGGAAATATTGACAAGAATGGTTTCATGAGTATGACGGGGTGATTGCCTGAATGGATTGGGTTCAATAGAAAAGGTGGAGATAAATTAGAGTTGGTGACTCCAGAAAACATTTCAAGGAGTTTGCAATAACCGGAAGCAAAGAGAACCATATAGGGTAAAGAGGTTTTTTATTTTATTTTATTTCATTTTACTACGGAGGATATTATAGAAGTTTTGTGTGCTGACAGAAATGATCTTGGCAAGTGAGGGAAGAAATTGCCTGAAACAGGGGTTGTAGGAAGAGAATTGCTGGAGCTACAGGATGTAAGCTACAAACAGAAGAATTGGCTTTAGATATAGACATAAACATTTTATTCATAATAACGGAGGCAAGGCAGAGAAAATAAGCATAGATTCAGGTAGGTAGATAGATGGTGTGGCAGGAACTGGTAGAACTTCTTCTCTCATTGCTTAAAATTTCTCACCCTGGTGAGAGTGAGGATGGGGGAATAAGGAGGAGAGCTGGTCATACAGTGAGTGGACCTGGGTAGTACAATAGGACTTGTGGGCAGCACTAAGACTAGTCAGATTGGATAAAGCACAATCTATCAGCATTGCGGGGGTGGTCCACCCAACTCATGAACTGCATGTGGGAAGGTATTGATTTCCCAAGGGAAACCCAAAATTGGAGTAATATTAAATAAAAGTGGAATGAGTGTTGACAAGACAAGCTTAACAGGCCATAGGTTCTATTCCTCGCTTTTCCATTTATTATTTATACAACTTTGAACAAGTTCCTTAACGTCTTTGTGCTTCTGTACTTTCCTGCACAAAATGCAGATCATAATACCTGTTATTATTGTCATTATAAAGCAACAGAATTAGGTGATCTTTCAAATTCAAAAGACCTTATTGAAAATAGTATTTGATGTTATGATAACATCAAGCTATGATTAATTCACAATCAAATTATGAAATCATGTTATTATAGTAATTATCATTATGCTTCCAAAATATTAGGCCACTGTCTATTGCCTGAGTCT